TCCACTTTATTATCGCTTTCTGGCCCACGTGTGATAATGTCCTTAGACATGCGCATCTTAGGGAATGAACTGCCACTGCCACATGTGTAGCTGTTCCTTTGTTATTGTGTGCCTTCAAGTCATTTCTGATGTATGATGGTCCTTAGGCGACCTTATCATGCATTTTTCTTGGCAAGATTTGAACAGAGGTTTCTCTGAGGCTGAGAGAGTATGACTTGCCCAAGATCACCCAGTAGCTGTTCCCTACATGCCAATAAAATGGTACTGGCCCATAGAAATGAATACCAATATATATATTTCTATGTATAATGCCCCAAGACCGGTTGCTGTTTTCACTGTATCAGATTAACATGGTTACTTGTCTGGAATCTGATACTGTTCATCGCATACAGGTGTCACAGTTCCAGGATACTAATTCTCAGCCTGGAGTAGTTTTGCTTATCTGTATCGTCCTGCCAAGTTATAAGGAAGATTTTCCTTTGTGTGAGACATGGATGTACGGCATAAGAACCTGTGATGAAATAACTGCCTTTAATTCTGGTCCCCAATATATCCTGAGACAAAAAAAATCCCATTGTGAGCCCCCCCCCGAACAATGCCAACAAGCCACAAACATGGGGCAAAAAATCTACCCAGAAGAGCAAATGTAATTGGCTGCATTGTCTGCATCATCACTTTCAACAGCACCCTGGATTTGTCACCAATTGTTCTTGTTGTGTGCCTTCAAATCGTTTCTGACTTATGGTGACCCTAAGGCGAATATTTCATGGGGTTTTCTTGGCAAGATTTGTTCAGAGGAGGTTTCCCACTGGCTTCTCCCGAGGGTGAAAGAGTGTGACTTGCCTGAGGTGGGCTTCATGGCTGAGTAGGATTCGAACCTTGGTTTCCAGAGTCTCAGTCCTACACGCAAACCACTACACCACACAGGATCCTGAAGCAACCATTTTGTTCAGCCTCATGGCAGTAGGGTAAAGGTCCTGCATAAAGAAGCAACAGGAAATGTCAGATAGGAATGGTTAAAATGCAAAGAAATGGTGAGGTACAGATAACATATAGTGAGGTTAAAAGGCTATCGGAAGCAAAGGCAGAAAGGAACATGAGCGCAGAAGTCAGATTGAAAAGTACGCAGGTTTTAAAAGTTTGTGTATATGCGTGGAAGGAGGAGATGGCCCGAATGTTAACAAGCAGTGGAAATTAGATTGCTCTTTTCCGCCTTGTTTCTCATTATTAAACAATGGCTATCGGATTCCCCTCGACCCTGATTGAAAGGTCTTGGCAGACACCGTCACTAATGAAAACCTCTAGCGCATTGTAGAGTGATTCACCGCATGCTTGTCGATGGAGGGTGGGTGGCTGGGTGGTCTCATGTCTCTCCAGGACTCATTAACATTGGCTTTGTTAGTAGGCACATACTAACAAGCCACCATTGATACAACCAGGGCTAGGGCAAGAAGTTGAAACTTTCTCTCTGGTAGTTGGAAAAACATATCCTACACTGCATCAGTTTTTCAAGAGGTGAGCGAATCTAAAAAACACCCCCTAAACCAGGATCTGAGACACAAATAGCTTTCAATATGCTCCAGAACCAGTGCATATCCAGGGAGCATGTGGAGTTGGGGGTGATGATAGCTCTTGAGGTCTCTTCCAACTCTATGATTCTATGATACACAAGACATATTGATAGAGTTAGGGACGGTAACATTTTTTAAAAAATTAAATTTTTATTGAGTCTTTGCATTAAAACATAAAGTTTGCATAACAGGATAAAAACAGCAGCAACAACAATTAACTACAGGGCAAGGGTATGTATCAGAAGAATAATTATTTTGCAGCAGAATTACAAAATTGGTCCTCAGCAAGAACCAGGGAATCTGACCTATCCAACTGTAGAGTGTCCGTCTAGAGTAGGGACCAGTAACCTACAGCCTGTGGGCCGGTTAAGGCCCAGGTCCCTGGACTTACCGCCCAGGCAGAAGATTGCCGCCGCTGCCGCCGTGACCGCGCGTTTTTGCCGCCGTGTGGCCGCGTGCACCGCAACCACCATTTTGGAAATCAAAATGGTGGTCGCAATGCATTTGCGCATGTGCAGGAGTACTGTGCATGTGCAAACGCGTCGCAACCGGAATTTTGAAAATCAAAATGGTGGCTGCGGCATGCGCAGAGGCGGCTGCGCAGTAGTGGTGGCAGCGGCAGCAGCGGCAGCGGTAGCGCACGCGCGGGGATGCGCACGTGTGTGGGATGTGTGTGCGCACGCCACCATTCCCCCCCTCGGCCCAGCGGTGGGAGGGACTTCGCGGGACCGGCCCCCAGCTTAAAAAGGTTGTCTACCCCTGGTCTAGAGATCCATCTGTGAAGTAGGAGGTTGGATCCGGTGGGAGTGATGATGAACATAGTCAATAAAGATCATCAAGTATTATTGAAATGTGTCAGTCCTTTTATGACCAATCCAAAACCTTGTCACACCAGACAATTTCTCCATCAACCACATATCCCAAATTCTAGCCCACCAGTTTTCAATGACTTCCAACATTTGGCTACTTCTAATCTGGCAGCAGTGAGGAGAAAAGTGATCAGCTTCCTATGTTTCAAGTTAGAATTGTCTTTAACACATACAGAAAGCAAAATTAAAATTGGACAAGAACTTATGGTTTGAGCATTGATACATTAAATTTGATTTAGGACTTCATCGAATTTTCTCACTTTAGGGCATTCAATCCACATATGCATGTAAGAGCCTCTAGGTTTACAATCCTCTCCAGCAATCCAGAGGAAGTGTTTTAGCAATTTTAGACAGAGTAACAGGGGATAGTTACTTTTTGAACTCCCCAAACCTACAACACCATACCCTCCAGCGTTTCACAGATGAAAACCAGGGGACATGAGAGTGTGGTCAGGATGGGAAAAGTTACTAATGAAGAAGAACAGGCAAGCTAGGAGAGGTTGCAGTAGTTTGGAACACATTTTAAAAGCAGCTGAAAAGTGGGACAAATGGGACTGCCCCTGCAAAATCAGGACAGTTGGAAGGTATGGAGCTGCAGCGCAAAAACATTACTTTTTCAAGCTCTGCTAAACATTCAGCAGCAATTCCACTTCAGTGCATCAAGGAAAAGGTGGATCAGTGCAGTCCATTTCATCAGATCATATTGGACCAACAGCCATTTGCTACCTTCTTCCTCCAAACTGTCTCCATCGGCAGACATTGTTCCTGGCAGCATCAGAAGAGGAACAAATGAGTACAAAGCTCACTCTTTCAGTCTGACTGGATCAGGGTGACAAGATGTCCTAATCACAAAGGAGGACAAGGCACTGCAAAATATAGGACCTTAAAGAAAAATGGAGGACATGACCAAATAAAGCTAAAAACACTATTATATAAATTCATGCTTTTTAATCATGCTCAAAATGGAGGACATTTTGGGATTCCTCCTGGTCAGGTTAAAATATTGGATGTGTCCTGGAAAAGGACATCTGGTCACCCTGGACTGGCTAGAACTGCACTTCTTTAAACATCACACTCTTCTTATCCAAGGACGTATCTTCCTTAGAGGCCATTCCAACTCTAAATCCAGTCACTCTAAATCCAGTCAATTCTATATGGATTGACAGAACGTCTCAGGCTGCAAAATGTCTTGGGCCATTCCTGTGAAGGGCTATAGAGGAACAAACCTTGAGGATTAGACTTCATAAGAATCCAGAGTGGTATTTGTATGGGGATTTGTATAATCTATCTCATTAGGCCTTCCAGCCGATTGCTGTTTATTGCTACCAGCCATAGCTCTCTTGAGATCTTCCCCAGTCCTAGGGCCCTGTGCACTGGAGTAGCAAAGGACAGAATCTAGGACCATGTTCCTCCATGGCTAGATAAATTAGGCGTCATAGTGTTTAACTGCTGTGGAATCCTGGGATATCAGTTTTTGTTGGTGTGTGCCTTTAGGTTGTTTCCAACTTATGGCGGCCCTAAGGCAAACCTATCAGGGTTTTCTGGGGCTGAGAGTGTGTGACTCATCGAAGGTTAACTGTTGCCTTAAAAGGTCAGTTGAGAGGAAGACTAGGGGTTCCCCACCAACAGTGTCACCCTCTTGGTATTTTGGGGGAACCATTTGCTCAAAAGGAGGCCTAAGAGAGGAGGATAACTTTGGAGATCTTTTCACCTATGTATATCAGTACTAACTGCACAGACACTCTGGTTTCAATGAATGTAATGATTTTATTTAGAAATGTGCAAAGATCCACTCAAACAAACAAAGCAATGCAACCTTAAGAGCCATATAAGGCTAACAGAAAGAAAAGTATTAAAAGATTGGATAGCGAGAAATCATGAATCCTGAAGAGAGGGGTCCATAGAAGACGGAGAGTGGCTCAGAGTGTGAGTGAGAGGGACCCTCTGTGCACACATGAGGCTAGAGATGGAACTGATATTTATAGCCTATTTCATAGCCTTGAGGGGTGCTTGATGCTACTATACCATGTAACAAAGGCTTGATGGGTTTCTCATGGAATTGACAAAAGGGGCCAAATTGGCTGATGGCTTTAACTTTGGAGTGACAAAATAGTGATTGGATCAGGGACAGCATCGAGATAGTTGGACAAGAAGAGTGTTTAGGAACACAGGATGTGGTGAGGTAGAAAATGATCTTTAATTGCTTTTTGATGGGATTCTAAAGGTCTTTGCAGACCGGCCCAAAGGGCTGGCCAGGGATGGAGTTGGGACGGGGCAGCCACATGCCAGCTGCCCCAACTGTATTCCGATGCCGTCCTGATGCTGCACCCCTACTTGCATGGTGCGTGGCGTCAGGATGCCCTCCTGGAGCAGTGTGCAGACACGCTGCGCCAAAAGGGCACGGAAGAGCCGCGGTGCTGGCTCTTAGGGCAGCCTTTTGCCACCCCTAAAAGAAGTGGCATTTTGCTGCTCTTTTGAGGGCGGCAAAAGGGAGGATTGGGGCCGCGGTGTGGGGTTGCTGGGGCCCCGATCTGCTGCTCCCTGGGGCGGCTCTGTGCCACCCCTTTAGGCTGATCTGCATCAGCCCATAGTTTCCATTGAGAGAAGATATGTAAAGAGACGGGGTGGGGTTGGGGGTTTGGAGTAGATCAGCAAACACATTTAGCATTTTTTCCAATACTACCTAGGGTCTCCCACATGTGAGTGTGACCCCTTACCCAGTTTCCACAGGTCATCATGACCTCTTAAAAACACACCGGATGCTAGATAAAACCCCGTATTCAGCAAGACAGATGTAGGGTATGCTAACATCACCCAGTGGATTTCCATGGCTGAGCAGGGAATTGAATCCTGATTTCCAGAGTCATAGTCCAATGCTCAAACCACTACACCACACTGGTTCTTATAAGCAGTTTAGGGAGGGGAATTTAGAAATATCAGCCAGAGAGCTCTTGGGTCTCAACAAACTATAAATCCCAGGATTCCATAGAATGTTGCCATGGCAGTTAAAGTGAAATATAGAACTATAATTGTGTTGTGTGAATGAGTTCTTGGAGTTTCCTTCCCCAAGCTGGTGCCATCTAGATATGCTTGATTAGGAGAAACAACTTCCAGCATCCCCAGCCTTGATGGCAGAAGATGGTGGGAATTGTATTCCAACATATCTAGAGAATAGGGAAGAGAACACTAGGTAGGGGCTATCCTGGGGTCTTTGCAGAAAATTAAAAAGGCAGTTCAACCGGTCAATTTGGAGTAGTAGGCTAGATTTTTTAAAAAGGGGCCCAGTGTTGACTTTTGCCCAGGCATTGAGGCTCTAGCATTTGCCCCAAGATGTCTAGCTAAGGTTAGGATCTGGAAGCTGAGGAAGAAGGAGGCATTCCTACCTGGAAGCCAAGGCCTCTAGGTCCTCTGGGAAGGTATCTTATGGTCCGGCATAGGGAAAATGAGGTGTCCAAGGTCTCCCTCCCCACATCCCCCCCACCCATTTGA